AATGATGCTGAGAATACCATTGGCAAATCATAGAAAATGAGAACGGACGTAAAGATGCAGGTGAATTTTCTGGGACGCATAATAAAAAAAGCGGACAATGAAAGCAAAAAAGACAGAAGGAAAGAGAGAATGACTTTAAATGGATGACAGAGTGGGCTGGGATTGTTGTTTAGAGCTACAAAGTATGATTTTCCAAGCGTAGCTTAGATGTGGCACAAGGCCGAACGTATGAGGCGCCCAGTGAGGATCGAACTCACTACTCAGTCGTAACTGTTCTAGCTAGACAAGCTGGCTAACCATTACGCCACCAAAAAGTGCCCTAGTGATTTTCCAAGCGTAGCTTAGATGTGGCACAAGGCCGAAAGTATGGGGCGCCCAGTGAGGATCGAACTCACTACTCAGTCGTAATTAGTGCTAGCAAGATAAGCGTGCTATCCATGACACCGCCTCAAGGTGACCGTTTGGAGCTACAAAGTATAGGAAGATGTGGGCGGGGGGGTCAATGAGCACTCACTTCCCCGAAGGGCCATAGAACATAAAAGAACAGAAGAATATAAACAATTATTCCTCCTACCTAACAAAGCATTCATTATCTAAAGAGTATAAATTCTAATTTGATTCTTCTTCTATGTGAAGGACATGTCATAAAAATAAGGGAATGACAGACTGTGCTACAACTAGTAAAGTATAAAAGATGAAAGGGCAGATATTGTACTACGAGTCGTAATGAAATTGATAGGTCTTCTTTTTCTTCTTCTTCTTCTTCTTCTTTCCACATGCCTAGACACGACGTAGATGATCATGGATCTCCGCGATTTCATGTCCTTTTTCGCTGTTAATGAAGTTTGTCTTTTTGTTATCTCTACTAAACCTAGTTCCGCCATCTATTTATTCAATCTCACTAAATAAGTTATGCCTTGCTTTCCTCTGTCCATCTTGATTTCAATCTATCATGTGAGTATCAGATTTTTCAAGCCCACTTTCCTCATTATGTGACCTTGAAATTTCAACTCTCTTTTCTTGATATTAAGTATAAATATCCTTTTTGCTTCCATTTCCTTGTTGCTCGCATGTTCGGACCATGTTATCCTCAGCATCCTTCTGTAGAACCAAATTTCTGTTGTTTCAAGTCTGTTCCTCGTCTGCGTAGAGATTGTTCGGCATTCTCGCCCATATAAGAGGACTGATATTACGTAACAGTTCAGTACTGTTTTCATTGTTTCTAGCGAATTTAGGGATTTGAAGGAAGAAAAAAAAACGAACCCGTTAGAAAGGGGTCTAAGGTAGAAACTCATTTATATAAGTTTAGAGCAATCGATAAGAATGAAACTCGCTATCCATAGCTTTTGTCATACTGATCTATGATCTCGCGAGACTAACAGATGACAGTAGAAATTGACACAAATATATATATATATATATATATATATATATATATATATATATATATATATATATATATATGGAACAACTGTTAACACGTGAACCTCGTAGACTATTATAACTGAAGTAATTCCGAGATACGTTATGCGTTCAGTTTTTTTTTACTCTTTTTAAGTTAATATTTAGACACATACATTGGAACGATAATTAGCAAGCGCGTTTCCGTACAGGATATGGCGATAAGCTACTTCCGGCAGCATGGCCTCTGACCAGGAGATTTTGAGGTGCGTACAACCACCACTGAGTTGCTGTTGTTCCTAGGTCCATCTTGACACGGGTTGACAGCACCTGTTAGGGTCCCAGCTATGGTCAAATAATTAACCCCCAAGCTGGAGCCAGAACACTATGAAAGTACTTTTATAATAAAAATAATACATATTTTTTAAGAAAATAAATTACCAGCAATACATTTTTGAAAAAAAAAAAAAAAAAAAAAAAAAAAAACATTACCAGCAATACATTTTAAAAAAAATACGAGCAATACATTATTGTGAAAAAATACCAGCAATACATTTTTGAAAAAAAATATTATAAGCAGTACATTAAAAAATTACCAGCAATACATTTTAAAAAATATTACCAGCAATTCATTATTGAAAAAAAAAATTATCAGGAATAAATTTTTGAATAAAAAACTAACAGCAATACATTTTTTTAAAAAGAACGCAAAAAACTTACCAGCAATACATTTAAAAAAAAAATGACCAGTAATACATTTTTGAAAAAAATATTACCAGCAATACATTATTGAATACCAGCAATACATTTAAAAATAATTACCAACAATACATTTAAAAAATATTTTACCAGCAATACATTAAAAATTTAGTAGCAATATATTTTTGCAAAAACAAAAAAACAAAAAAAAAAAATACCAGAAATACAAAGAAAAAAAATCATACATATTCTTTTCTTACGAATCTATTCTAAAAATCATGTCAGCATTTACCCATTGAGGTTGATATACTGTAAAACAAAATAAACCAAACCAAACCAAACCAAACCAAGCTAGTTTCCCAGACCAATAATAACTTGGTCTTGTGTCAAGTTTAATAAATACCAACATAACACAGTGTTTTGGAAATGTCATGGTGTCTGCGAAATAATTTTATTTTTTGTCTGGTTTTATTGTCTAAATAAATAGTATCCAAATACTCTGGATTTAAAAATGCATACATTTCGAGAGTAATCATTTTATAAAGCTTGCTTTGTGCTAATATACGCTGTATATCGTCAGCACGTAGGCGTTCATAACCCTCCACAATATCCAGATCCCTGTATCTTTAAGCAATGTTTGTCTATTTAACATCCCTTTTGACTTCGTTCTACCCTCTATTCACACAAACTCGTCAGTTAGGTTACCCGATGTGTCACGCTTGCTTATCGATATATTTTGTGAGTATTAAATTCTGCAATCCTACATGGTACCCAATAAAAAAGCGGAAAAATTATTATCACTGTTTTATCTTCCAGGAATGATTGACATTGAATAACCTTAAATAAATTTCTTGAATATTTATGACCTTGAACAATCATTCGAGTCTTGCGTAATTACCTAACTCTGATTGGTTCTTTTATGATTGATTAACTGTTGTTCGATCATTTAAAGGTTATTTGCTGACAATTTTCGTCTTTCATTTTACCCTTCTTGTATGGTTAAACAACTCACTGATTTTCAGCGTCGTTATCTTACTTTTCAAAGAATCACATCTGACGTGGGCATTGACGAAAAGTGCAGACATTCTTACTGAATTTTCCAGTCGCATCAGTCATCACCAGTTTTCAACGGTTGTCTCACGTCTTTCTGAACTTACCGCTTTCTGAATTTACCACTTTCTGAAATTACCGCTTTTTTACCGGGTACCCTGTACTTACAAGAGATTAGTAAATAAGTGTCATTTTAGTTCTCATTTTTCTTAAAACTTCCTAGTTTCTCATATGCTCTCTTAATGTTATTCTCAGCATCCTTCTGTAGCTTCAAGTCTCTTTTTCATCTGTGAGGAAATTGTCCAGTATTTGCTGCCATATTAGGACCATAAATATGTTATAAAAGTTCAGCACTTTTTTCTTTGTTTCGAATTATGCGATCAGCTTTTGTAACTATGTAAAATTAAGCTGAACTAAATTAATATTTAGACACATTGGAGCGATAATTAGCAAGGGCGTTTCCATACTGGATATGGCGATAAAGTACATCCGGCAGCAAGGACGCTGATGAGTAGGTTTGAGATGCGTAGAACCACCTTTTAATTACTGTTCTTCCCATGTCCATCCTGACTTGGAGTAGTAGCACCTGTTAGGGTCCCAGCCAGGGGAAAAATAGTGAACATCCAAACTGGGGTCAAAATACTATGAAAGTATAAAAATAGATTTTTATAGTAAACATACCAGCAACACATTTTTGAAAAAATCTTACCAGCAATAAACCATAATCTGACTCATGACAAAAACCTCTTTACAAATGAAACCTGATCTAAAAACTGACTTCTTACAAAGAATACATATTCTATTCATAGGACTCTATCCTAAAAATCTTGTCGACATTAAATAACCCATTGAGGTTGATATGTTTTAAAGCAAAATAAACAGGTTAACATAATCAATGCCTAACTGCAGCTTTGTTGGCAAAATCTGACACATATGCTCGTAAAGTTCAATATCAATTTTCTAAAAAATTGCAGTGATTTGAGCCTTCAAATTCTTGGGCGAAAATTATAAATTCCTGGGCTATTCCAACATTGACTGATTCCCATTACATTTGTCGTTTTGTTTCACGGCTGCAATACGTTGATTCACTGAAAGAACCAGTTAGGTGCAGATTCAGTAACTTTCCGAACTTACGGCAATAATCTGAAAATCAAAAACAAAAACAATTAAATCGGTACATTATAATCTGCAAGTCAAATATTAACTACATATCTTCAAAGATTATAAGCGCTATTTCTGTCTCGCCTTGTGTATATATATATATATATATATATATATATATATATATGTTCAGGCCTGTTGGGTAATAATATCTCATCATTGTTAGCAGATTGAAAGAAATTGTAGTATAGTTTATATTCCAACATTTATCTTTGACATCTTAAAATTTGTAATTTCCCTAGAAAATTCAAATAAACAATGGCGACAATCTTTTCCACGAATACATAATATCGCCATTGTTCAGAACTTACTAGAATCATTAAATTTTCACGCATTGTTCTGACAACTGAATTCCTTCTCTGTGAGTTTGGCTTTATTTTGTTTTATAGTATATTAAACTCAATGAGTTTTTTTTTAATGCCGATAAGATCTTTAGAATAGATTCGTATGAATAGAATATATATTCTTTGTAAGAAATCAGTTTGTATGAGACGTATATTTAAAGAGGGTTTGGATAATGGTTTAGTGATAAAACATTTACTAATTAACCTATAGATGGGGAGAGAAAAGATGGATCCATACTTTTCTCAACGGCATTTGCGGGTAAGTGAATATACCAAACCCAGTTAGAATTACCGATTAAAATTCCCTGTCATTATCCATTACACTAACCCCACATCCAGAGTTAAAGCACCTGGCATCTCCAAGCGGTCACCCATCCAAGTACTGACCAAGCTCGGCGTTGCTTAACTTCGGTGATCAAACGGTAACCGGTATTTCAACGTGGTGTAGCCGTAAGCCTCATACTTTGTGATGCTGATACTGTTATTGCAATGAATAAATTATACACCAGACAAACTGGCTGTACAATGAGTCGGCCGAAACGTTGTGGGAACACAATCAACAGCACAAAGAATGGATTCAGTTGTCAAACTATAACTTGTATCCATCAAATTTACACTTTAATGACTTCTGAAACAGTTCATCATAAAAAGTTATATTTTTTTTTAATTTAATAGCTATTTTCGTATAATGACTCGTTGACAATACGGGTTCTCAGATTCTAAATGTTGGGAAATAAATGGTGGATAATATAAAGAGGAAAATGCGCGAATTTCATAAAGGGGGACGTTAAATAATTAATTAATTTGATGGTGAATATGTTAAGCAACGTTATTTTAAAACGCGTTGTTAAAAGAAAACTAAAAAAAAATGTCGAATTTTCCTCAAAGTCATGAGCCTTGAATATCGTCATTCTTTCATCTCTTTAAATAAACATAATTTTGATGCATAATTAGGTTTATATTTTTAAGCAATATGCTTTGTTTTGTCATCCTGAGTAAAAGAATAATTTGTCGCATATTGGGTAAACAAGGTATTTTTTTAATTTTTTAATTTTTATGTTTCTTCATGTGTTTATCTGAAATTTACAGGAAAATAACTCCTTTGTATTGAGAACAGTAAACAATGTTTTTTTTTTTGTTGACATTTTTAAATTAGGGAGAGTGATTCTTGTTTAGTTCCACATCTGCAAAGATTTACCACAGATTTTCCTCATATTCTGCAGTGCGCTTGTGAACTTGCCAAGATTAAAATATAATCATTTTTGGCCGTTCTTTAGTTCCGTTATTCAAAAATACAGAAAGATCTCAGGCTGGAGCCAAAATTATAACTCCGGTTTTACACTGGAACTAAACATGTTTATACCAAAATGACGCGCAATCGAAATAGATTTCTTTCTCTCCCGATGTTTTTAAAAAAATATCTAAAAAAACCAAAAAAACAAAAAAAGGGCCTCACCTCTTGTTTACTATGCTTCCCCATGAGCAAATCTTCACGCCTTTCTAAGTCGATCTGTTCATATCTGTCACAATCTATCGATATGTATAACTACTTATATCAACGCGAACTTAGTTTTCTAGTAAAAATTATTTGAACTCGCACGCAAACAGATATCGTATCATACGTCCTGGTTACGTGGAAGTACATTTTTTATTGGATGATTTTAACGAGAGCGGAGTCGATCAACCTGAGAGAACATTATTTAGCTTAATCGATTTCAGCATAAATCAAGGCAATAAAGCCACTAAGACGCAAAGGTTTAGCGTGTGTGGAAGAATTAGGAACTTATTACATTATTACTAATGAGCGAGAAGAGAAAAGAGTAATCAGGAGGACATTAGATAGCGATTGACATTATATTTAAATTTTTGCACATTAAAGTTATCTGGAAAGCATGGAGCCAGAACGGAGTTCCACAAGCGATAAGTGCAAGAAAAGAAACTTTACTTTTTAGAATTTACGGTTAAATTTGCTCAACTGTAAATTGATGAGATCTCGACCCTAGTCTAGTGCTTCGTTAAATTCAAAGAGTCTAGGTACCATAGCAAAGAACTCATCCGAACAACTACCATTAAATTATTTATTGAAAAGACATCCATTTACTCAAGCTCATTAAGTAAGTTATGCGTTGTTTTCTTCTGTACCTCTTGCCCTCTGTCTGCCCCGAGAGTATCCATTGTTTCAAGCACTACTTCCTCATTATGTGCATCACAAATAAGTTGCCTTTTTCTTTCTATTATCTCTAAAACCTCGTCGTTGTTCACGTGTTCGGTACATGGTATCTTCAGCATCCATCTGCAGAAGGGAAGTAGAAAAAAAATGACTTCTTCCAGGATCATATAAATGGATTCTTTTTATTTATTTATTTTTAAATCAATCAGAAATCTTCAACAGTGAATACTTTTACGAATGGTTAAATGACTTTAGCTTCCAGATCACTACTCTGTACAGATATTTGATAAAATTGTTCCGGAATTGGGAGATCTTAAAAAAAAACAAACGCAAAAAACGTGTCTAACAGACTAAAAATTTTGTCTTATGAAAGTGGCAGTACAGTGTAACCCGGATATAAGAGACCCGGATATAAGAGAAACCCGGATATAAGAGAGATTTTCTCTGGTCCCAAATTAGAGCCCATACTTACCTAAACAAAATAGACCAAACTCGGATATAAGAGAAACCCGGATATAAGAGACTTCTTCCCGCCAACTCTCTTATATCCGGGTTACACTGTATAAAGTCTGATGTAAGGCAAAACAAAAGAGATCTAAAATATGTCTAAATAAAGAAACATTATAGAAACGTCTATAAAAGAAGAGGTATTATGAAATATATGTCTAATAAAAAATAAAGAGGTTTCTAAAGAATGATATATTATATATATGAGGGTAACGCAGAGATTACAGCAATTTTGAAATTATGAATTAAAGTCTACAGGGAAGCACTGACACGCGACACATTACACGTCCCCATAAGAAGACGTTTAGCTAACCACGCCCAACATTCTATCATTCAGTCGAGTGGCAAGGGGCAATGAAGTCAGACGTATGGACACTCGAATAATGCGTCGTATAACACTTTCTGTGAGCAGAGGAAGTCAAACTTGTGGAAATCCATCGCCGGATGTTGGCGCAGTATGGAGCATGCACAATTAATCAACGAAATGTATATGAATGGCTAGAACGCTTTAAAGTGGGATAAACAAGCGTAACGGACGGAAGCCGATTTGATCGTCCATCAGTATTGCGCACGGAAGAACACATTCAGGCGTTGGATGCCTTGATCAGGGAAGACTAACGAATATTGTTAGCCCAAGTGGTGTTAATCTTGTGTATCAGCTATATAGCTTTGATTCGATTTCTACAGATTATCAACACTTTGCAGGTTAATTTTTTTGGAGATAATAATGATTTAGTGATGCAAGTCTTACTAATTAATCCATAGATGGGGGAGAAGAGGTAGATTCATACCTTTCCTAAGAGTATGTGCACGTAAGTGAATATAACGAACCCAAGTGAAATTTGAACTCAGCTCTTCGATTCACAATTCCGAGCTATTACACTTAGCACCAGCCACCCATCCAAAACTTAAAGCACCTGAAATTCCCTAACGGTTACCCATCTAGTTATTGGATTTGTATTTCTGTTATCGTTCAACGAGCTTCTTCATCTTGTTCGAAAAGAAGCTTTTCGGTTGCTCAAGAAGACACGTCTGCACCTACAAACGGGCATAAACTTTACGGTACCCCAAATCATTATGCACTAAGACTGGTAAGCATTCATAGCTAAGGTTTACGGCCATATCACGGTGAAACATCAGTTCCCGTACGATCACCGAAGTTAAGCTATGTCGTGCCTGGTCAGTACCTAGATACGTAACCGCTTGGAAATACCGGGTACTATAAGTTTAGCTGTGCGGGTGGTGTAATGGATAATGGCTTGGAATTGTTAATCGGAGTGCCGAGTTCTAATTGGATTCGTTATATTCACTTATACGCAAATAACCTTGGGAAAGGCATGAGGCCATCTCTTCTTCCCCAGTTACTGTTTCATTATTATTATCTCCAAAAATAAAATAAAATTGCGTGCAAAATATTGACATTTTGGCATTAAATCACCTATAAAGGTTGATACGCCGCTAGACGAAAATGACCCACCAACAATCGCGTAGATGTAAAATTGGCTTCAATCGATAGAGATGTAGTTTTACTGACAAATGCTAAGAATCACATGGACCGAACATATGAGCAAGGAGGAAGTTTTAATGCAAATAGCAAGAGCAAGAAAACTTATATTTACAACTGGAAAAAGGAAGGTGAAATTTCTAGGACACATAATGTGGAAATGGCGCCCGGAAAAAATTAACAGTCACTGGATATATTGAAGTTACAAATACATGTATAGTAAATTGTCAAAAGTTACTGAGAGCTTTAAAAGATAGGAAGTGGTGAAGGTCAGTAAACGTCCACGTTACAGAAAAAAAAACTTTGCTTCTATTCATCAGCCGAATTTCGAGCGTTGCGTAAAGGCTCGAGATCTAGCCTCAACACACATGCTCTAACACTTAAGCTACAACTGCAAGTATAAATTTGGACAAAATGTGCGCCATTAGGCAGATAAAACTGTACCTCTTATCGTTTTTCATAACTTTGTGTTTTATTTTCAATGTAATTATTTATGCAAGCAATTAATTAATCAGAGGCAGAATGTTGAATGTAATTCGGTTTAAGTTAGAAACACATGTTGTAGTTTCTCGCTGTTGGAATCAGAAAGCAAAACTATTTCATCCTGTCGAGATATTTTGCAAAATTGTCTACTGATGCAGCGTAGCATTAATAATTGTTAAAGTTAGTTGTTATCACGTGAGACAGGGAATATATATAAATTTGAAAAATTAATTAGCATATGTAAATCTGTAAAACTAACGAGCATATATATAATATAAATTATATATATATATATATATATATATATATATATATACATAACATGAATTTATGTAAACGAGTTTTATTAAATCAAAACGGAAGAAGCTATCATATATTTAAGAAGAGTTCTCAGCATCGGTTTTATTAAAAGACCCAAGGAGTTGGTTGGTTGATTTTGTTTAGCGGGATATCAACCACTATTGCTTATTCAATGCCGAAATCTAAATATTTTGAGCAAAATTTGATACCTTTTAAATAAATATGTTTTGAACGCAATTGTATGCCTTCAACTACAGATACTAAGTATTGTTAGTCATTTTGCTTTAATTATGCATTGATGGTGATTTTACTATAAGTAGATATTGTTGGTCATTTTACTATAAATAGGTAGTGTTGGTTGGTTTATTTTGTTTAGCGTTATATCAATCTCTATGGGTTATTTAATGCTGGAATTGAAATAAATACTTTGTAAGTAATTTTATGCTTTCAACTACAGTAATTTGAACATTATTTTATACATTTATTGTAAAAATATGTGTTTTTTAGATATATAGTTTGTAGATCATGAAATCTATTGTTGGTAATTCTACTATAAAAATGTATTTTTGTATATTTTACTAATGAAAACATAAGAGGGACGTTCAAAAAGTATCCGCCAGAACTAATGCCGCGTGGATAAAATCCTTTGGCTGGGAGGTGACATAGTACTTCTTGCGCATATATGAAATATATTCGCAACAGTAGAACGCGTCACTTCCCAGCTGTTACGCCTAGAGTACAGGCGTATAATGCTCGCTCGTTAGATTATCGTTCTTAGGCAGCATTAGTTTCTTCATCTCAAAGTGATGAAACCAGAACTGATCTTTGGTTAGGAAACGTTCAAGGAACTCAGCTGGATGTGCTTCAAGACGTGAAAGCTACCGAGGATTAACCTTATTCATGCCATATTTATTGTGCAAAATATTCTCAGCTCTCTCACATAATAATGTATGATTTGATTTAGAATCAATCGTCTGTCATCCATTATTATGTGACGAAGACGAGCAATCGGTGACTGTTGAAGGACGTCAAGTCCTTGGGTCATTTCCACGATCCTCCCTTCCCCTACTTAATTCCGCTTCCCATTTTTGCAGTGGTGATAAAGGTGGAGGTTAACACCGTCATAGCAATCATATCAGCATGAACGTCCTTGGGGGGTGGGGAGGGCTAAACCCCTTTTCTGCAGGTACTTCATACCACCACGATGGAACATTTTCTTCATTTTCAAGAGAAGTCGTTACATTTGAAGTTTATTTTGAACATCCAGATGTCAGTTTTCTTTTCACCTCAAGCAAGGCGGGAGTGCCACTGGTACGCAAGGGGTTAAAGAGTGTGAAAGTAAGAGTAAAGAGGGTTGTTTGAGGAAAGGATAAAGAGAAGAACGGCGATCAAGATCAAGGCATCAGAAGATGTAGATTGATATTACATTTAAATTTTTGAAGATTATAGTCATCAAGGAAGCAAGTAAGAAGAAGGGAGTTCCAATGTCGGGAAGTGCGAGAGAAGAAGCCTTTGGGGTAGAAGAGGCGGTTAAATTTAAGTGTTTCGTCAGTAAAAGGGTGGGACCGAGATGCCATCCTAGTAGCACGCTTAAATTCATGCAGGTGAGGCACCAATGAAAATAGCTCGTCAGAGCAGTTGTCATGAAAATATTTTTAGAAAAGACAGAGCCACATCACATTGCATATCCGTCTTTGGATTTTGTCGAGAACGTCGAGATGAATAGTGGGGGTTCCAGACCATACTTGACAACAGTATTCAATGCAAGGGCCAATGGTAGATTTGTAGATTTGAAGGGAGGACTCAGACGAGAAAAACCTTCTGATGCAACACAGAGAACTAATTTTCCTTACGATAGATGTTGCTAATGATTCAATGTAGTTACTCCACCTCAGGTCAATGGGAAACGTGAGACCAAGAAGGCGCAGAAAGATACTCTCGTGAAGATGAGCATCAGCCATGATGATAGGAAGTAGGGAGGTTTATCTATGGTGGGTAAATAAGTGCAGTTTCGTTTTTGAGACATTAATGTTCACAAGCCATTTTCTGCCCCAGTCAAACACACATTGGTGGTCCTTTTCGTGACTAACAGCCAGGTTAACTTTGTTAGCAATGCCGGATCTACTATTGAGACCGGAGTAAATGGTAATGTCGTCTGCGCATGCCTACTTGAGAACTGGACACCAGCGTTCGTATGAAAGGAACTGGAGCAGAACACGTCTAGGACGACTTTCATTTCACGATTTGACAGGAATGATTAGATTAAATCAAATAATCGTCCTGTAATACCGTATCCCTGAAGTTTACGTACGAGGCCGGCATGCCAAACCCTATCAAACGCGTTAGACATATCTAGAGCCACAGCTCGGGCTTCGCTGTTATTATCAAGCATGATATACGAATTCAATTATGGCCGTAAGTACATCAGTAGTAGACCGGTTAAAGCGGAAACCATATTGTTTGTCAGAGAGTAGATCGTGGGAGTTAAGGTGCTTAACCATTTCGACGTTGATTAAAGCCTCGAAGACTTTGCTGAAGAGTGGTAGAAGACTGATAAGACGGTAAGATGGGTCAGAAGAGTCTCCAGAGTTCTTAAAAACAGAGACAACAGATTTAGACTTCCAACAAGCTCGAAAGCAAGAGTTAGCGAGGCAATAGTTATACAGTTTGGAGAGAAATGGAGCCAGCCCAGGAGCACATTTCTTTAGAACTACGGCTGGTATCCCGTCACACCCATTTGATTTATGAGAGTCTAATTTAGAGATGATGTCCAATACCATGGACGGGATTATGCTCATCTCACTTAATACAGCCTCGGTTCTCGGGGGAGAAAAGAACAATGTAGTTATTAATAAGAAGAATTGAAATTAACGCATGAAAGATTTCACAGTTCTAGCATCACTTCATCATAATCAGCCTGTGGGCCTCTCTACTGTCATATATATGATGTGATATAAAAATTTAAATTTGATGAAGAAAATCATGCAGTGGAACGTAATTTAATGTATTTATGAATAATAATTAGATATAAGCTGAAATTAATATTTCGTATTTATAACTACAAGTATATCCTGGACATTGTTATTGTAAAACATAACCCGCATAATAGAAATATGAATATGAATATATATATATATATATATATATATATATATATATATATATCGAGCTGCTCCTCTTATGTATAGTTTTCTCATTCCTGTCAGTTGTATTGTTGCCTGTCGCACTGGTAATGTCTAATATTACCATTAGCGCCAAGAATTATGCGCGGCCAGACAATGGCGTGCTCATTCAACACCAATCATCCATCTATTTAACAAAAGAATCGAAGCAACGAAATGTGTGGTGTCATTGTTTTTTCTGTACATCTATAATCAATGATGAAAAGACAACATGATAGCATCTGCTAACATGAACGGACCAAAGAAAAAAAATCCTGAAAAGAAAGGTATGTAAAAAAAATATTCGAAAATAAAACAGGAAAATGTGTATTGTCTACAAAACATTATGAAAAGAAGAATAGCTACTCTTGCAGTTTCGTCGTAAGGTAGAAGCAAGCGTGACCCAGCAATAATTGTATAAAAATAAAACAAAGTGAAGCTTGTTTCTCTACACTCATGTCAGTAATGGCAAAAAGAAAAAAAAGAACTTATCTGTCCAGAGTAACAAACGCTTTGTACCCACTTCTTACAAGTGGGAAATAGAAAAAGCTCTTGGCAGCAGCTCTATCGGAAAGAAGGTCAGAGCGGCCTGCCTCATGGTTAAAACACTTACTGGTTTCTCTCCTGTGTTCGAGTGCATGTAAAAAAAAAAGCTAAGGCTTCAAATACTGATTTTCAAGGCAGATAAACTCTCATCACTTTGAAAATTGCCATAATAGATTTTTATCGTCTGCTATCCTGCTTCCAGTCTGGCGATTTTACCAAGCTGGTAA